TTTGGTCTATGTAAATGTGAAAGCGTTGAGAAGTGCGTTCGAGGTCTGACCTCTACTCCTTTAAGAACTCAACGATGTGGTAGAAGCTTGTCGGAGGCTTTGAGAACACGTCTATGAACTGGGAATAGCATGTTGGCAGCTGTTGTATGTCGAGAGCAGCAGCCAAGGGTAGTTGAGGCTTCCTCAGGGGTAAAGCGTGCGTGGGGAGCTGGAGTCTGAGCTCTCTCCCATCGAAAAGAATGGATTCAACTCTTGCAGAGACTTCCGGAGTCCTGACTTGTATGTGGTACATCCTTGAAGCTGTGGATTGAGTTGACAAGGTTGTTGTACTGGTATAGCAACCTCTGGCTGTTCCTTCAGAGAAGTAGGCGGAGGTAACATAGGCGGAGGCGCTTTGTAGCCAAGGGATTGTTACACAGGTCATGCTACTTAATCTTACAAGACCTCAATATCCCTAGCATTCTTGGTAACATGTTTGTTTACCTACCTTGCTTGACCTTAAGCTAGGTAGTAATTCCTATCACCGTAACGAGACGATAGAGAAGAACGGAACGGGGGTAGGAAGAAGTACTTTCTTGTCCCTCCACTTTTAACATAACACCACCTATACCATAACCCTACCCATCCACATATTCCCGAAAAGTCATCACTGGAATTTTTACTCAAATCACCAAACCAAAGACCACGAATTCCCAATCAAAACTCCAGTTCCTAATACCTCCACATCAGGGACCCCAACTTCCCAAGACTTTATCACGTATAATCTTACATTATACCAGAAAGACTCAATTTTCAAACAACACAAACAGCCCTACCCATTATCTAGAATAATCATCTTCACTACAGTATCTCTCTCCTCAGCGATTCAGCAAACGACCTTACCCAAGTGACCATCGATTAACCACCATAAAAATTCTTACAGCAGCAAAAATGCATGGCCACCCGCCGTACCCCCCGGTAGATGAGAAAAGTACCTATAGCAGAGACCTCTTTCATCTCATCCCACAGTACAAGTAACTTAAACTTAACTAAAAAACCATGATATCACATCATTTCCTTAGAATGATCAAAAATGATTGATCGAAAACGATACAGTAGTACAATAAAAGTAATTATTCGAGATATTTCAAACATTTAAGTACTTAGGAAACTTACGCAAATAGTTACAGAATAAAATTATCTGCTACTTTTCTGGTCCACTGGGAGGGAGCCTACTTATATCACTTAATCATACCCAGCAAAGAAAACAAAACCACAACCTCACAAGCACACACCAAGAAGACTTATCATCTAACAAAAGAGAACTCTCATATCGTATTTGCCAGTGTATCGACACCTCAACCTATGCTACATATCCCCTCCCCTCCCCTGTCCACCATATCCCTCCCTGCCTAGCCTATCCCTTCCCCTCCTTTCCTCCCACCTGTGTATGCTTGCTCAAAAAATCAAACTCACCTCGTGTTCATCCCTTCCCAACGACGTCCCGTTCCATTCCATTCAGTTCCTCCTTCCTATCCGAATCGCTTTCTTTATATAACTTCCCCTCCGAAAGAAATCCTCCTTCTCCTCTCCTCTTGTCTCTGATATTTTGAATCGCCGTCATCCCTTCCTTCGAAACCCCCACTTCGCACATCTCTCGGATATCTTCTAGCGTACTTGTACTCGTACTCGCTAGCTCAACTCGCCTCAAACCCAACCAACAGGAACAAACGAAAATTACGCAAAAAAGCCGAGAGCAAAAACTAGACAAAAAGAAAAGTTGTAAGTCCACAAAAAAGATACTGTAAGAGAGTAGAAAAAAGATTCCCAGGAAAACACGCTTTGTCATCTTTCCCTTGATGTTATTCAGACCAAACTCCTTAATACGCCATGCAGGATTTGTCATTCGCTTCACCCCACAAGAAAATGATGAACGAACGAAAAGCACTTTCCCCTCGCTAAGTAAAGATTGACCGCCGTCCCCAAACCCAACACCTTATCCCCTTGCTTGAAAATTTCCACCTCGAATTAGAATATTGGCCTGTACCCAACTAACTCTCATCGTCATGAATTTGACCTATCTTGTATCCGAGTTGTCTGACTTGCAGCTCTTTCTCGCCCATGAGCGCTTCGCTCCCTGGCACGATCCTCTGCTACGGTATCGTTGTAGCTTGGGATTGGCGGAGGGGTGCTCTTTCTCGGTAAAAGAGGTTCTCGCTCGCTTTCGCTGCTCCCGCGGGGGCTACCAGCAGTTGATGGCTGGGGACTTGTATACTCTGGTGGAGGATTTGAGGGGTGTTGAACACTAAGGGAGGCTTGTGGGGTATTTCCAGAGGGTAAGGTGCCAGCAGTAGCACTTGATTCTCCAGGTTCTTCATTCGTGGGTATATGTGTAAGCTGAGCAAGAGAAATATCTGTAGGCGAGCGTATAGGACCTGGACTTGTGGGCGGATGGTGCCTAAAATTCCCGCTTCGTGATCGCCCATGCCTTGGATCTGGGAAGTGGCTTTGATGACTACTTTGAGCGCCATCTCTTCCAGCCTCTAGCAAAATACTACCTTGTTCGCTCCCGTATGGCGGAGGGGGAGCAAGACTTCCAGTCATTGGAGCTAAACCCCATTTCTTAACGTTTGCCTCAATGAATACAAATCCTGACTGTCCAAAATTAACATGGACATTACAAGCGCCATTCGCGCCGACCGCCGGAAACAGATTCTGAGACTTTAGTCCATGTGCAACGTCTTCCAACTTCTTTCCGTTTCGTGTAAAAAATACTGTGCCAGTTCGAGGGCGATATCCAACTCCGATAACATCTCCCTGAACATATTGTGGGCCATAAATGGGGCCACTGAATGGTTGGTTGTATCTTCGATGTCCAGTAGAAGTATACGCCACGGAATATTTGTGCCAACCTACGTGGTACAGTTAGTTCACCGTCAGTCTTGAATCCAGCAGAACTTCAATCTTACCAGGTAACCTAAAGAGAGGATATGGCTTTGTAGCCACACCAATACTGATCAGAGTCGTCTCGGGCTTATCATAGATCTTCGCCTCCCAGTAATAAACCTCGTTCTGCTTTGGAAGTGGGAGATTCGACAGCACCGAGCACTCGCTATCATAAAACTCGATTTCGGTCCTTCCTTCCACGAAACAATTTGCTATCTCCAACTCTGGCTCAAACTCCCACGCTGAAACGCCTTTTTCCTGAATTGCTAAGTATTGCGATAATGAAATGTCGGTTGGTAGAGAATCGGGTGGGTTGGCTTGGATAAAGGCTAAAGAAGGAAGATAGGTTAGTAAATGTGCTCTCAGACACAACTGTGAAGTAGTAAAAAGTCCAACCTTTTGCTCTCAGGTACTCCGTCCTCTGGAGGTCATCCATTTCCTCCAGAGCCTCGGCCTCTTCCCTCGCGTATGCCTGTTCATCGTCATATTCGCCAGGCCGGCCAATCCGGTCGAGTAGAATACGTCCTCCGGTTGTGTATCTAAAGAAGTAGATGATCAGAAAGATAAGGCCAATGAAGGCGGCGCTTCCAAACGAGCTGAGCAGACCAATGACCACGCCGTTCATTGTCGAGCGGTTGCCGTCCTGTTGCATCGAAACCTGATACGGCTGTCTATACGTTGACCATAGCGTCTGAGCTGCGTGTGCTCCGGCTGCGATGGCCGTTGCTGGTATCTGAGATTGGGTGGTGGTGAGGAGTGTTGTCGGCGGGGCCAGCTCCTCCATCGCCTGCTGCATATTTGGCTTTCCTACCTTACCTAACCTATAACCTATAAACTCTCGCGCCGCTGGGGCGATCCTGACCTCCGTCAACACTTCCGGTGCTTGCAGCTCCGCTCGTACTCGGCCAGCGAGAAAGGGACCAGATGAAGGGCGGCTCTCGAGTGATGTTGTGCGGGTTTGGGTGGTGTTGACGTCGGAGGTTGGAGCGGTGTTGTTGAGGAGACGAGTCGTTGGAGGGTTGGCGGGTTGGACAATCTGGTATGGCGGTTGCAGGGTGTACGTGGTGTACGTACAGTAAGAGTACGGACCTCGCTAGAGGGGGCTCTGGGACTCTGGGCTGGTATCGGCGTTGTGGTCGGCAAGTGGCGTTGGAATGGAGGAGGTGGGTTGACCTGCCTGGAAAGGACGGAGGAAGTGGAATGACAATGTTGCTAAGTTATGACGAATGCAGCAGAAGAAGTGAATACTTTTTTTCTCGTCTAGTGTGTAGTTTCTAATTTCTAGATACCGGTTTCTAGTAGACATAGATTGGATGGATACGGAGCACTAATACGGAGTACTACAGAAACGGGCGCAGGTGTACGACCAAGAGAGCTGTTTCAGCAGCCCTGAGTCCTCCCGCCAAATCTGTGTCGCGATGTTTTATGCGACCGCCTTGAATTGGCACCGCCATCAGACAATGTAGTGTGACTGCATCCTGTGTGGTCAGGAGAGAGTATTTACTTGTATACTTACTTGTTTAGTACATCTGTCGAATATACAAAAGGTGCACAGCCGATGTCGAGTCTGCTGGTTGCTACCTACTTATCGGCTGGCAGCAGCGTATGGCCATGGGAGCTCATGTCCCCAGTCATCTGCAGTCTACCGAGGCGTTGCTCCTGGCCAAGATCCGATCATGCTTGGAAAAGAGATATACGGAACATATGCTTGCAAACATCATAACAACCACGCCATAGCAATTTCAAGATACCTTAAAACCACATCTATTGTTTCCTTTCCGTTCGTCATCATCAGGCCTCCAGTGTCTACAGGTGATCTTAACCTGCACCTAGGCGTCAAGGCATAAGTCGTAAGCTCGTGTTTTAGCATTTGGCCAGGAACGCTGCGTCACTACTGGTTGATTTGTTGTCCAGAAAACAGCATTATGTCATTGCAAGGACCTCATCAATCCTTCCATAGCGAGACTCGTCAGCCCCCATAGCTCCATCATTAGTCATGTCCTTTCCTTTGCAAGGCCCAGTACTCAACCCGACATCTCCTCGCCCTCGCCCCCAATCTTCTTTTTCTCTTCAGATCTCGATTTCGTTTTCTGCTCGCTCTCCTTGATCCAAGCTGTATACGCTTCCGGTCCCTCCTTCAACTTTTCCTTAATGACCCCTTTCAGAATCTCCCCGGCGAATCCGACGAAATTGTGTCTTCGTAAAGAATTTTCAAACTGCCATTCGCTTCTCTTCTCCTCCTCCCTATATAGCGCTTCTTGGTCTCCAAATTCTCTTGCTCGAACCCGTAAATCTCTAATCATAGCGAGGAGGTTGAATCGGATCTCGTTAGCGGGGTATCTCTCAATGCGTCGCTGCAAAACTGGTATGACCTTTTCAGGGAATTCTTCGATCGAGCTAGATCCATGGGAAATAGGCGCTGGTTGAAGGCCATCTAGTTCATAAAGTGTGCCGTTGATAGACGTATACGCAATGAAGTGATATACATCGTCGTCCTCCGTAGCCATTCTTTGCGTCTCGTCAACGAATGGACTACTTTTCGCAAAGCTGTTGTGAACATCTCTGATTAAATCTGAATTGCTGAGCGCCTCTCCTCGCATGTCTGGTGGAAACCCGGTTGTGAATTCCTTAAAGTCCTTCAGAGGAGTCCCAACATCAATAACGCCATCCTTGTTCAATACGACGGAGAGAAGAGCTTGAGTACCGCAAGCATTCTGAATCGTCTGCGCGGCGAAGAACATGTTCTCGGAGGCATCGTAGTCGTATTGACCGTCTTTGGGAGTGCCATCGCTGTTTGCCTTCTCGCCGGTAGGGTATTTGAAGAGGAATATGACGCCGTAGACGGGATTGAGTTGGCGAAGATAATCGGCGTCTAGAGCGATGAGCTCTTCGAATTGCACATCCTTTACTCCAAGATTATCGAGTAGGAAAGTAAAAACACCCTAAGAGATGTCAGCGGCGACTCTGGGATGGGCAGGCAGGTTTGCGGCTACGAACCGCATCGGATTCGACTACAAGAGGTCAGTAAGCCGTCATTGACTGCGGTCGATATGGCACATACTGGTATTCCATCCTCCGCTCATCTTGATGGTTGTAGAAGTCCAAGTTGACTTCCTTCGCGGGTTTGCAAGCTACTGTATGGTTTGAGTTCAAGCTGCAGGTGCAAGCTATGTGACCAATTTAAAAGTGGGCCCACACATACCCCTTCCAACTTAACCCCGCTACTGCTACACACCCATCCACAACTTCACCAGTACTCACTTCGCAAACACCAGAATTCTTCTCACTAAGAACCATGGTCGCCGACACTCCGCGACTACTCGGGCACGATGAATCAAGTTGGATTGAGCCTGTGCCGTAAGATCCTATGTTGGGCAGACATGCAGGTGTGTGGCTTTGACTACCAGCAAATCAAAAGTATGCGCTATCCGCCTTGCATTGATGTATTCATATAAATATGCCCCAAACTGCGCAAGATTGCTACCCCAAACAAAACGATTCGTTTCTTTTCAGTATGGGACACTCTCGAGGGCATCCAGACAAGACACATAGCAAAAGATCCCCTTCGAGCTCCGAGTCCTCAAGCGCTCTTTACAAAGATCATTTTGTAGAAGAACAAACATGTTCTGAGGATATTACTCCGACTTATTTCACATATGGCACATGCGATGCAGGCTCCAGTTTTGATATTAATTATATCTATAATTCGCCTTTCGACAATAATACTATATTTCATACGGTCTCGCAGTCCATCAACGTTCCCTATCACAACACAACCTCCCAGCACAACACAGAGTCTGCGTACACCTCAAAATATGGCCAAAATTCCCCTCCACCATACCCGTCAACTCACCAATCAGACCACCTTATAAGTTTCGAGTACAGCTCTCCTCAGACAGTTCCGAGTTGCGTCACTGATCGTGCTGGTGGATGGCATATCAACATTCGTTCGAGGGTTTGAAGAGAATCGCATGCAATACCTCAAATTAGAACAAGAAATAGGATTCCGTGTTAAGCAAAAGCTCAAAGAGAACAACGTTGAATACCTTTGGCAATCCCGAGCCAAAGACCCACACTCTTTGGAAACGAAGCTTCGAGGTCGCAAGCACAAGTACTCCAACGACCAAGCAAACTGCGCCGCAATCAAAGACCTAATCGGCTGCCGAATAGTTCTCCCTCGATTAACAAGCGACATCCCAACCGTCAAAGCTTTGATCCAAAGCTATTTCAACTTTCTGGGAGAGAAATCACATCCCGAACAAGGGAGCACTGGCGGCTACGTGGGCTTTCATTTCTACGTGGCCATGAAACAGCATGGTTCACAGGATGTCAGAATCGAGATTCAAGTCATGTCACCCTCTCAGTACAATTATGCGTTCTACGATCATGATGTCTTGTACAAATAATCTCAGGGCCAGGTGACGATTGATGATATCACCAATCTTTCGAACCTCCGGGCTGCGGCTTACATAGCCGATGTTGCTTCCGAGAACTTGCAAAATCGCACCATTGAATGGTAAAACGAGCGTGGGGCTTGAGAAAACGTGGTGCATCAATCAATTCCTTCTCCGCATTCTTTCTAAGCGGCTGAAATGCGGGGGAAGTCCGAGTTTCACGCTGGCAAAAAGCACCACTCTGTTGAGATAACTCCGTCGTCATGATTTTAAAATATATCAAAATAGCTATATCCATCTTAGTCATCTAGAAAATAACATGTAATTATCCTTCTTAGCCTCGTAGTCCAAAATCTGTACCCACAATAAGTCCCACATCCCAAATCACGTCCCAATACCGCATCTCGCTTACTCACCCCCTATTAAGCGAGCGAGCTTCCAAAACAAGACAAGACAGAACAGCCCCCAATCGCAGGAACAAAGCCAGGCAAGACAGCTATCTCATGTAAATACTACATAATACAAATAACAAGAAAAGATTCCAGTCCTACCTACCTCCTTCCTTCCTCCTACAGTACTCTAAAGACCTCGCTTAACGAAACCATCATATTCTACGAGCGATTGTGGATAACTAACTCAGTTTAGTTCATTGGAAAATACTTTGTATATCTTTATTCCCCCAAGGAATTGATTGTAATTTAGGTCATCGGGATTAAGTTGATTATTCTATTATTGTTCTTAGAGACGGGGGCTCTATTATAGTTGTGTATTAGGTAGTTAAAGATAGGTAGTTGAAGGGTATGTCTAGAGTAATAAACTACCCTACAAACACAGTGTTACCCTCGCCGAGAAAGGAAAGCACAACTTTGCCCTTGCCTTGTCCTTGCCCTTTTCCCATCTTACATGATATATTAAATTCACGATTCATGATGATAAGATAACTGAAAACCCTCCCACATGTGTGTAGCGTTTTACTAATTCAAAGACCTTAAAAAGTATTTAAATATATCTAGGGAACCTTCCTATGCATCCATTCAATCAGTAAGTCATTCATTCATTCAAAGAAAACAAGTAAGATTACATCTTGCTTCTCAGTCTCATTCCCATCCCATCTCATTCCATCGCATCCTTCCAACCATTCCATCCAAAAATAATCCCGAGCCATAACTCATAAATAGTCCTTTTAACTTCTACCCAAGTATTCCCCAACAACACACCACGCCACCTCAACATAAACCCACACATCACCCAAAGTTTCAATCCGTTAAAACGTCCATCCTCTATCCACAGTCTGATTCACAAGCAGGCATACTCTATATAATAATATCATGTAAACGACTTCTTCCTCTTCCTCACAACACCCGGTCAGGGACACAGTGTCCCACAGTACGATATCAAACCTGGTCCTTCCCTTCACTTCCCTTCCCAAGCCTATAAATACCTCCCTGGACATACCTAGTAAGAACACTACTCCACCAACCAATCTACTCAAAGAACAATGATCACTCCTACAAAAAGCACGAAGCCCCTTGTATACGCTCTAGCAAGAAGCGCACATCCCATACTTCATAACACCTCAGAAACTGGTAGACAGAACGTCCAGTTACGTCCTAATCAGGCATGGACTCAGTATTCTCGCTAATCCTCGCCAATTAAATTAAAGCAAACTACTCGTACTTGCCAAACCTAATTAGGACGTTCTGCCTACCGGTTTCTAAGGTATTACGGAGTAAGGGATATTTCCTCGTGGGGGTACTCTAGATCGTCATCGCTCAAATTCAATTCGTGATACCGGCGCGGCAAGCTGTCGCTACATGAACAACGATGTCTACTCTAGGTTAGCTAGCTATCTTCAAGCCTGTATAGAACTTGCTTACATCGTACCCAACGGTGGCTCTCCTCGGTGATTTGATAAAAATCACTGGCTGTAAGCGAACCACGTGAGAGTTGGCAGCTAGTGTTTGCCATACAACTTGTTCATCCGAGCTTTGATTTTGGGGGATTCCATTAGATGTACTGTACGAGTTTTTCTTGTAAGTCGTCTTTCACCGGATCTACGGTGTAGGTATACATAAGAGAGGCGAGCCTTAAATTTGTACAGTATCCACGCCCGAGTTCTAAAATACCATCCCAAAGACCTTACACAACAAAACCAATCACACAAATAATTTACAACCATCAATAACTTCACTCCTTATCAATCTATGTACGACAAGACAAATTAACAGATTTACTTATACCAGACTTTTGACATAACAACCTTTCATAGCGTCTACAGAGTACTACCCGTCTCATCTTAAATCATCTCATCCTCTGCTGGTGCGGCTAAGACGATGGATGATATTGTCAAGTCGAAATACGGGAATCGAGAGATATCTGTCGAATCGTCTTTTGGGGTCTTTGATTTATTCTCACGGTCGTCAGACTACTCACTCTGGAAACCCCTTCTCCTTCTCTTGTCCCTATAAGGTCATCAGTAGAGCACATACTCACCCTTCATAACCACAATGCAGATCGACGGTTGACCGAATGGCACAATCAAGCCACTGGTTTAGAGCATTGATAAAACACAACGGAAGAATCCCTTAAATCATCTCGATCCAACACAAAAGTACGTCATCTCAAAAAAGCCCCGAAGCCCATTCCTTTTACACAACACATCAATCCAAGTCTTTGCAAATAGAAAAAAAAGAAATTGCCAAACAAATTCTCTTATTCGTTTCATTCTGACAATCAACAACAAATCAACTCTCTACATCCTACTTCCTACTTCCACCTCATATTGCCTTCTCCCTCTCAACGCTGAATCCTCTTCCTTCCTTCCTCCAAGAGATATCCAAAACATTAAATGAATACCCAGTACCAAAAAAACAAAACAAACAGACACAAAACTCCATAATGCCTGTTACGAACAACACTAATGATTACCATTTTCCTCCTCCCAAGACAAAAAACCAAAGCCAAAGACCCAAAGTAACGCCATGAAAATAAAACCAAACCAATTAATAACGCCGTTTTTTCCCATGCAACAAAAAACAACAACAATAATATGCTGTAAAACCTGGGTATATCTATAAGGACTGTGGGGTATATAATAATAAATGCTTCTACAAGGACCGTGGGTGTGCTTGTAATCGTACAACAAAGAGATAATAATAATGTCGTTATTGAGATCGTTAAGCGTCGTAAAAAGAACAAGAATCCGTTTCCGATAAGTTGTTGGATGGGATATGAATGCGCAGGTGTTTAATGTGAAACACTTTTTTAAGGAGAGTCGTAAGTTGGTGATATTAATAAAAACAAAACATTAGATGTCGAAAAAGAACTCCTTTTCGGGAAATATAAATAGTAAAAAGTGTCGTAAATCATTATGTGCTGGTCGAGAAATGCGAGTATCGAAAAGATATTAGATCTCTGGATCCTTCCCCTTTCCAGAAGGAGGAGTCGGGGATGGGTAACGAGGCGGGTAGCTGGGGAGGTGAGGAAACTGAGGCAGCTCGTGGTGGCTTTGCTGGCCCTCCATTGGTTGCTGGTAGTGAAAATTCAGGTCTTCATCTTGAGGTTCAAGTTTGAAAACTGGGGGAGTCCTGGGCCAGATGTTAAACTTGTAGTCCGATGACTTAAATCCACACGGTCGGAAGCACAAACCCGCCGAAATTCGGACCTGAGCCCTGTCCTTCATAAAGGGCAAAATCATCCCCATGGTCACTGTAGACGATGGACCCCTCTCCGAATGCTGATGTGGCTGGACTGTTATAGCCCCCGAACCCACCTGGTGATGGAATACCCAGGTATTGATTGGTGAATGGGTCGAGCTGAAGAGTCAACGGGCTCATGTTGGTGGCGGAACTTGGTTCTGGAGTCATCGGCATGAGGTGCTCTTGGCTATAAGTGAAAGCAGGGTTGCCATATGGGGAAAGCGCATGGGAAAAGTTGTCTTCCATCTCAAAGGAATTACCACGAAATGTTGGGAATGAGGCGGTTCTCTCCGGCTGTACCCAACCCATGCGGTTTCTAAAGGTAGAAACCATATCAATTGGATACTCCATGAGGTTGAGAGGGGTCTGCATATCCGCGTCGGAGGTTTGAGAGACGTTGATGGAAAAGAGCCTTCGAGCAATTTCTTCAATTGGCCCCAATGACAGACTTCCAAAGTACGCTGCACCAACTTCAGGGAACAGGGGCTCTACGACAAGCGCTACTGTATAGTAGTGCGCAAGTATGATCAGAGCTGATGGAGACCCTCGCGTTTGCTGCAGAAACATGACGGGCAACCAAAACAACCAGGCTCGAAGGGGGTTGAGCATCTCGAATCGTTGTGCAGCCGTGTGACTCGGGGATACCTTGCGAACCCCACGAACGAACTGCATGAGTTGTTGGATGGCCTTGACATCCTCGTTGTTCTCCTTCAAGTGTTTTTCAACCCTTTGAAGCTGCGCATAGGCTCGTTGTAGGGACTCCAGATCTTGCTTTCTAGGATTGCTCAACTTCATGCCACCTGGTGCTGGGGACGGTGGGGCTGTAGGAAAGGTGCTCTGCTCTGCGATGAAATCTCCAAACTGAGATTCGTTTTTCCATGGTTGCATAGCATCGATAACCTGGATGTTTGTTAGTTATGTTTAATGGATTTTGATTGTTCAGAAACGCACAGATGAAGTTCCGTGCATCAATTGAGTCCAACCACGCCTGGAAATTGAGTTAGTTAACGTCCCTGACCTATATTCTTTGTTTACACATACCATTCAGTTGCTTGCCAGGACAAGAGCAAAGAAGCTGCCAGCACAGCATCAGAGTTTTGGGGAGAAAACGATCCGATGGCTTCGTGCAACCCTTTCAAAGCGACACCTCGATGCTCGTAAGCCATGTTTGCCGTAAGTGGACAATCCGTCAACCAAGCCAGATGCGTAGCCGAGAGTGCAAGCAGGGCATGCATAACAAAAGCATAATCGGTTCCAATTCTGAGGAAGCTGAAAGATCCATTAGCCAAAAAATAAATAGTTTAAAAATGCGGTACCCACAGAGGAATTTGACGGGTCCAGATAGTGAAGTTGCTAGCATCATGAATACTTAGCTCGCTAGAAACAGAAGCAACGTGGTGGATTAGACGAAGGTCCTCAACGGAGAAAAACTGAGGGGACGGAGCCGGGTAGATGTAAAGATCTGGAAAAGGAAAGTTCCCAGTCTGTTGCCAGCGTTCTATTTCCTGCTCAATTTCTGGAGTCCACAGGAGATCAGGTTTCTCGGGAGTTGGGGCTCGCTCCTCCTGTACAGGCATGTCCATATAGGGACAGCGACAATTGTGCTTGGTACAGTTGCGGCTAGTATGTATTAGCTGTGTACCATTAAAGTAAAAGATATCTGTCGGAGTTATTACCATTGAGGGAAGTTTTCATCACAGCGAATGTGTCTGCGTTTACACGTTTCACAGCCTTTGCGAGACTTGGTGTGACTAAGTGATGTCAGCGAGGAAGGTGTTATGGTAAGAAAGGTAGCACATACCTCCGACGAGGAGGTCCACCACCTGGGCCAGCCATTGGAATGAGAAGGGGGGGATAGATTAAAGTCGACGAGGCTTGAACGAGTGAAAGCCAACGACCAACTTCTTTCTTAAAGAAGATCGAGAAGGATTAAATCAAGAAGTATCTTGAGTTGAAAAGTAACAGCCGGAAAAAATACCAGAGACTGGCTAGGCTCCGACGTTGCCGGATATATAAAGCGAGTGTATGGCAAGATGGTGCAGCGGCTGAAAGCAACGTAACTGTATCCCCAATCTCGAAGAACAAACACGCATGAACGTGAGTCTAGCCTGACTTTACTGCAAGAAGTATATTGCCGGCAGTTGTGTTACACGGGCAGGCAATGCGAGGATGGTCCACAGGCGCCGAGTCGTAGCGAAGGTCTCGGGGGGCTTGTTGTTGTGGGCTGAGCTGAGGCGAGTAGAGTTTAGACGGATGGAGCGGGCGGGGTTGGTATATGTTCTGGTGTTTTGAATTTTGAGTTGGATTTAGGTTGAGGTGAGAGAGTTGGGGGCTATGAGGGAGGCGGTAGGTTGGGGATGGGATGAGATGGGGATATATTTTTTGAGAGTTGAGTGGGAGAACGCAAAAGCGAATGACAGGAGACAACGAGGTCTTCCTAAGAGAGGGGGGAGTAAAGCGAGTGTGGTGGGGGGGGTTCTTGGGAGAACGACGAGACCGTGTGAAGCTGTTGGGTTTTGGGGGATCCTACGATGGATATCTGTTGGCAGACGGGCCCTTCTTAAGACTGCTGCGGGTTGCTGTGGCCGACAGGCAGAACGACCCAAAGGAGAATAGCGCAGGTGGCTCAGGCGTTGGGAGGAAGCTCATTCTCCTCCGTCCATGCCTGTCACTTGCAACCGTGCCAGCCAGGAGCATGGAGCATGGAGCATGGAGCATTGGCTGATGCACTGGTGCATTGGGGGAGGGGGGGCGGATGTGATGTGGGTGTGGATGAGGATGTGGATGTGGATGTTATGGGGTGCGAGAGCCACCGACTCGCTGGGAGGCATTCGCTGGGAGGCACGGGACGGGCTGTAAGCTGTAGCTTGTAGGCCGTAGGAGTAGGGGAGGCCATGATGAGGTGCCCGCTGCATACTGTACCATGACCCTAGGCGCCGCTGCCCCTGGAACCCTTGCGAAAACACTTCTAAAAGCGGAATGTACACTTCGGCTCTTGACGAATAGCGACCACTGCTGCCGAAGTTTATTGTTGTTGCTTTCTCGGGCTGTTTGGGTGGTCCAAGTTATATTTCCGGACTGTACGGTGTGTACTCGCCTAGAGCCATTACAGCCGAGGGCCAACAACAACCCACCCCCATAGCCCTCCCTACAAGTACAGCTTCCCCACCGACAACAAAACTGCCAGTCGCTGCCGGAGTGGTTGGCAGGGCGCGCAGAGCGCCGATGGGCTCGTGGCAGCTGGGAGTGAGACTGGGAATGAGACTGGGAGTCTGGGACGGGGACGGGAACTGGGACTGGGACTGGGACACTGGGATCTCTATCTCATTTGTCCTTTCTCTGGGCGTGAGACCATGGCTATGGAACCAGGAATTGCGTCTGGCAACAACTTTGGGTTGCACTTCCTCGCTCCGAGTACACGAGAAGGAGCAGCCAGTGCAATGATTTGCGTGCTCTACGGAGTGCAGGTACAGTCTTCCAGGCTGAAGGTTGAAGGTTGAAGGTTGAAGGTTGAAGGTTGAAGGTTGAAGGTTGAAGGTTGAAGGTTGAAGGTTGAAGGTTGAAAGTTGAAGGTTGAAAGTTGAATCTGAGCCTGGGGTGACGGGAAAAGACCGCTGAAGGGAAAAAAGAGCACAACAGACTGAGCTTCCGGTGCGGTGCAATAACGTCAAGATGCCTTCCAGATATTGTGTTGTACTGGCAACGACCACCACCCAGGATATAGGTATGATGGCAGTCATTTCTAAGACTGACAGCAAAGAATGGCGTTTTGTGTAATATGACCGGCATGGCCAGAGCCGTTGGCAACTACCACCAAGTAAGTTTACCTTTACATGTACGGAATATGGCTGGGGACATCCCCCAAAGAACTGGGGAGAATTAAAGGCCTTGTGCTGCCCGAGGCTTGGGTACAGCCGCGGGTTATGACGATGTCATTGCTCTTGTGAAGCAGATCGTGATATGATATGATTGTTTTTCTGGGAATGGCTGGCCTACGAGAGATCACTCATCATCAAAGCTTGAGCCTACTTTACCCGTACCAAGTACCCCTTCTTCGGCATCGTTAAACTTGACCTTGTTTGGCAGGCAGAATCGGAACTTCGGAGCGAAAAGGGTATCCGGAATGTTACTTCTTTTAGACCTCTGTAGTTTGTACCTTCCAGTGACCTGTAGGGCAGAGAGCCCACTGGCAATGCTTAGGGTTGAAATGGCCTAATTAATAGCAGTGTTTGACTTGCTCTGGCGACTTCATCGTAGTAGGATCTGATCTAACAATGTCGCCGATTATGGTTTGCAGCTAGAATCTGGATAGGCAATTAGGTTGGGAAGACTCCACATGTGACCTTACTCCGTCTCCGTCTTTTCCGCAGCAGGTCAGTGCTGGTGTCGATCAACAGATGTGCGAATAAGCTATGCCTATTTTTGTAACTCACCGGGGACCTATTGGTATCCATGACCAATTGGCAGGTCAAGGGTGCAGCAAGTGTCGTCAGGGATGATCCTGAGAAATCCCCCATTCGCCTTCCAAATCCTCTGCCGTCAAGCCGGTGCTCATTGATTGGATCCGCCATCTCAATTTTTTGGGTTGGTTTAGGACGAACTGCTGCCTAGAACGCCTGACCGACCTCTCGTTGACAAATGAAGCCATTCTCAATCCTCGTCCGACCCGTGGGTGTTAGTGGTGTTCATAGTTCCGGAGAGATTGTGTGGAAGCACTGTACAACAACTCGCCGAAAAGGAGCACCATAGCGCTTCGATTTATGGTGGTGTGGCGTGGTCAAGGAAAAAAACATATTTGTTTTACTGGGGAACCGTGCCAGCTCTTAGACCGCAATTGGCTCAGTGCGACGCTCCGCCACGACGAGCGATTCTTCTTCTGGCGAATAAACAGAGCCTTTTTTGCTGCACCTCCGGGGTAGCTGCATCTTTTTGGATCAGTACTCGAGTACACTGTACTCCAGAGCAAGACCTTTGCCTTAGGCGAATCCTCATATTTCAATGTGAAGCTGTTACACATTTCTCGTGTCCATTTCTGATACACTGTCGAAGCATGAGGCTATGCACAGAAGGAGTCTGAGGGAGTTATGTTGCTCGTTATGGAGAACATGACGGTGTGCGTTCGCCTAAGCGGAAATAAGTCCGGAGTTTCCTTTTTAAGAAAACTGAAAAGATCAATTCAAATTCATTTGGCCGGGTCAGATCGTTGGTAAATCCGATCCGAAAACGAATAGTGAAACTGTGGGCATACAGATCCGCGCGAACGATTCTCCTGGATCAACTAGTCTGCCTCGACTTGGGGGCTAAAAGTTCTGTGTTAGAAGAGGTTTTCATCATGGGGAGATTTTCGTGCATGAGTCTTACAATGACCCCATTTTGCGATCTACTTTGTCCCAGACCTGATAAACGTAAAAGTTTAGTAGAGACCTTACCCTGTACCCCACAGAAACCCCATCAATCCCTGACAACTTTGCACGTTTATTATGCTGGGTCGAAGTATTTTGTCCTTTTCAGAAAGGCCAAACTATCGTTGGACCGGCATTTGTGGGTTGCCCCAGAGAATTATTCCCATACCTCCCCAGAATGAAAAGTTTGTGGCTGGTCTTTTGGATCACAGCCGAACTCTCGCCAGAGATAAGGAGTAGTTCATGTAATTGCCGACATTCTACTCGTCGCGATCAATGAACTCTGTCTGAGCCATAGATGCCGCTGATGTGATGTCAATCTCACCGCCATCCTGGGTGTATTGATCAACTGCGCATAATGTTTGGTATGACAAAGTAATGGTAAAGGCTGACAGGATCAGCCTCAGAAGGAAACACAACAGAGCATCATGATGATAATTCGCCGGTGGGTTACTGCATTTTCCGAACATGAAGCCCATCCCGAGGTACAGCGTGCTATTGGAATCGATACAGCATGCTCTTGAGCTCTTTTTTGATCCGAAGCAGGTAAGCTTCATGCATCGGCACAGGGTTCATATGCAAGACCGCACGGTTAGGTGCTATTTTCGGTATTCTTTCTTCTGGAAAGCTTCCTGATACGGCAATATTGTAAACTCTCACCGCAATGACAGCATCCCCTAAAATCGCGTGGCACCGAACCCCGCTGTGGCTAGCGATACAACGTAACAACGATATGCCAGCTAGAAGTGCTTTTGAGTTTCTCGACCTGCATCTCTGTGCGTCCGGGCAGCTGGCATTGAAAAGTCGAGGGCAAATATGCTTTATACTTCTAAATGGCCATGCTGCCCGATCCTTGAATCAATGCAAATTGGCTCAAAAACAGAACAAAGTCAGAACCAAAAAATGGACCTTGGGCGAATTATCTTGGCGTTGACATATTTATGTTGGGTGTTGATCGTTAAAGGGATTGCGGTCCGATACGACACCTCAACTTTTCGGGACCGAGGCAAGAATAATGAACTTTCGTCAAACCCACGATGCTGCCGGTATCCATGATGCCCCCAAATTTCTGTCATCTCATGCAGCGGACAGATCCAAAAGCGGTGTGCAGACCCTAGGACAAGGATTTGGTTTTCGCGCATCCAGAGTTCTCGATACCAATGCGAGCGAGTACGTCGAAGATATTCGGCTCGATGTCAAGCAAGGTATCAGATGAAAAGAATCAACAAGAATCCTGACAAGCATTGTGATGGTAATACAGAGCCAACACAGAACATGATGTAGCATCACAGCCTTGTGACGAATTGCAATGCATATATGATTCAATGCAGCTAGTGACAATGTCAAGCTGACTTGTTGATGGGACTCGGAGGGCTTGGAATGGTTCACCAGCCATCCCAAGGCTGAATAAATTTGAACGCCATGCCGCAAGCGAGGGCGACGATGGGCTAGCGGGACCAGATAGGCGATGGTTCCGCAAGCCGCGACTGGTTTCTTGCATATTCCAGTTTGAGAAAGGCCTTGCGACCAATGATGATTGGCATCCAATATTGAAATTGAGTAATGTCCCGATGCGGCCTTGTTTCAAGATGTCGTATTCCTGGGTGAAGAACGATAGAATTGTTTGGAAACCAAGCTTCGTTTTTGGTTATGTTCTACCGACGGCCTCACACGCCGCACGCAGAGGCTCTGAAAGTCAAATTGATCCTTGAAAAGATGCGAAGAAGCAGGAATACGTCCAAACGAATCCGAATTGTGCTAACTAATAACGGCTTTGGCCCGCGCCAAGTGGGCTGGCAGGCTGGCAGCTCTTGACAGCGGGGAAGTCTTCGCGACTTCCATTTCTCCACCAAAGGGGGTCCGCCAATACCAATGGAGCCCCAACCCTTAATCCCCTCCGTGACTTTCAAACAACCCCACGAGCCACGGGCCATGGGCCATGAGCCATAAGCCATGAGGGTGCGGAGGTGCTTGGTGTTTGCGTGCGCCGACACGCTGTGTTGATGGCCGTTGATTCGCGTGCGGCGCCAGTATGGAGGATCCTCTGGGACCTCTGGGAGGATTACGGAATCAGAGGATTGCTGGAATTACAATCGGCTAGCAGGCATGTTGGCGTCGTGCAGATGAGGATGCGGGAGGGGAAAAACAGATCCTGGAGGTATATGAGAGATTCGGTATTGGGATATGTGTAGAAAGAGAGTGCCACCGTGAAGGCTTAAGTACGGACCGAGAGACTTGCAGGTTGATTAGTCCATCTCAGCAAGGCGATTTTGGCAAGAGCCCTCGGGCTGTCCATTACTATGGGCACACCTTAAGAATCCTTTGTGCTAGAATCCATTCCTTATTCAAACAACTGAATTGTCCCAAATCACTGACTTACTGTAGATTAATAAAAATATATTGTTCTAACCTAGGTGTGTTCAGAGTAATGACCGCATCTTTTCCTGACTCAGAAGTTTGTAGGTTGAGTACTATATCTTTGTCCTAGTCCATCTCAGTAAGGCGATTTTTGTAAGATTATACAACATTAAACCAGACAATCTCAATTGTTTCATAAACAAAAGAAGCCCAGACAAGCTCAAAATAAACTCTGCATAGCAAACTGATTTCTCAAACATTATTCGCAATATTTCTGAAACCAAAACAGAAAGAGTTTTTGAGCTTATGATCTTCTCAACGAACAACGAACAACGGGTTGCCATCCTTCCCCTTTCTGCTTTTCTCTCATATCCGAATAACCAATAATCTATACTTTCCTTGGTCCAACCTAAATAGTAAATACCTATCTCCTTGTTTTTTTTTTCCCTTGCCGCCAACACTACACTGATGCTCATTGATCCTCTCTTCTGATTCTGCCTTTCCAAAATATAGCTTGGTGACGTTTGTGGCGACGTGGGCAAATACTAGGTACATGATTACACATGGCCGAGCAGGGACATGGTTTCGCTCGCCATTTTCCATCCCACTCGACGGTACTGTACTGCAAGAAGTCAGACCATCAGCGGCGCAACTCGCAGCTAGCCGCGCCACAGATCCAAGCATCTATGCAGCATGATATCGCCCAACGATTGAAATCCGCAGTCTCAATTCGAATACTTTCATGCCAGATTATAATAATGGCCACCATCGCATCACCGAGTATACTGCCGAGTACCATTCAATGAGCACCAATGTCAGAGTCCATCACCAGCAGCTAGCATCAAACAGCTTCATCTGACAACAGCAAGAAGCGACCGAGAAAACAGCCGTCCCTTCACAACATCACCCAAGGAAACCCGAGTGCGATTCCCCTCAAGACCTCCCAATCCTGTCACCAATCACTGTAGCGGTAATGGTAACGGTAACGGCTATAAGAAAATAACGTTGTGGCTGCATTCCCACCGCCCTCGCACTGCGACCAAGAACATTGTAGTTTTTAGGCAACCATATGCCATCACGTCAATTGTTTGGATGCCCAAAAATAGATGGGGGGAATGGTGTTCTTCCTGCCACATGGAAGGAAGAATCTGTCATACTATTGTATGTAGTGCTCTCTGCAGTATCATCGCAGATGGATGATTGCACTGCACAGCCCTTATCAAATCGGTCCTTTACCAGTCTTTTTTTTTTCCCAACCTTGAATCCGCCTTTTCGGGGTATTTTCTTCGTTGATGGGGTAGAGTTCGAGAACAACTTAATAAGTATTCCGAGATAGCTAAACTCGCCAAAACCAGGCCATCATGAGTTCAGAGGATAGATGCTGCCTGCAATAAAGCATATTTTTCGATATGTTCCGGTGATGCCGGTTTTCTACTGGAAGGGATGGTGTACCATTGGAAGAGCACAGTGCAATACCTGGTAATAACGAATTAGAGCCATCCTCCCTACCCTAGTTCTGTATACTCCCTTTCCATTTACTCCCTAACTTAAAGCTGAATCGCTTCTTTCTCCTGTGAGTAACTGTAGTAGCTAGACAATCTTGGATTCAACGGGAAACAAGATCATCACTGCATGTAAAATGATAAATTCATTATGTCTCAGCACAACCACACTTCCTTCTCTTCTTCCTAGAATTTGGCCGTCGTCTCTCATAGAAATACTCAAGAGACGTGGTTCCCTAGGTTGTCAAAATCCACACCACAATTCATGTACCTGAATCGGAGAAAGTCCGTCAATAACACCCCGGGCCCAATCCCAAGAAACATGTGTATAACTTCGAATGAGCCTCAATAGAGGAAAAGTCGTGCTTTAGCATCTTTAACCACCCAAGCCAAACCGCCCTGCAGGTTTTCCCCCGTGATCGCACTACATCTAATGATGTGCCATTTGTGTGTTCGGATTGCATTTAGTTGGAGACCCTGCATACGGTTAGCGTGAGCACCGGACATTTTCCTCAACGACGTCTCTTGCACGAACCTGCTGAATTTCGACTTCATTCATACATCCATTGACGTCGGTTTTGTTGGCAAATACAAGCAAGCTTGCTCCGGAAAGTCTCTGAATTGATGTTTATTATCACAATACTCAGCGTGAAATAAAAGAGGAAATACCTCTTCTTGTAGGAGATTGTGAAGCTCCTCTCGACAGTCATCGATGCGCAGACGATCAGTGGCATCGACCACCCAGATTAATGCATCTGTCTTCTCAAAGTAATTCCTCCAGTATGATCGCAGGGTTTTCTGGCCTCCTACATCCCCTGGTTTTCATGAGTAGGCGCCATAGCCGGGAGTGGGAGACAAACAGATATTGAGCTTGTAACTAGTAGAGGAAGAACGATCAGTGGGAGAACGGAGGATAAGAGAGCAGTAGAGTACTTACCCTTCATAATCGATGGTTTTTATGATGAAACCAAGGGTTGGGCTGACACTATTCACATCTTCTCCCATTATCCTCTTGACAATTGTCGTCTTTCCCGCATTGTCGAGTCCTCTGCAATCGAAACCCTTCTTGTCAGCGGGGTCAAGTTCCCATCATTCCTTGGGTTCTCGTACAGCATCAGGATTCGCATCTCCTTGTCCTTGAGTCTAGCTTTCCGTAAAATCGACAGCATTTTTGGCACTGTTGTCAAGTGATGTTGTTGATCTAGCTGCCACCTGCAGGGGAGCAGAGCAATGGCAAAATTGATGGAAGTGTTCCGATTAAGTCCGACTTTAAGTCCGAAAACAACAACAACTTGTCAACACCCAAGTTTTAGGGATTGCCCAGAACAAGATTTCCGATACGGATCTGTGAATTTCAGATACGTCACCTTGTAAAGCAATACAAGAAGTAGTTGGGCAAGTGTCCCTTTCGTCAGAAACTCTGTCAATTCGAAGTGAATTTGTAGTTCTATCTTGTCTTTATCAGTTTCACTTTGGTCTTTTGAGAATCAGCTTTGGCACATATCCCTACCTGCCGTTCAGTTCTGTCAGGAGGGGTGTACGGTCGCTTTTATTGTAGTTCTTTAGGGGAAATTCCCTCAAGTGTCTGGTGCAGGTGGGCTTGTATAATGAGAGATGGAAGTAATCATGAAGATCCTGATTGCTATGTTTCTATACCTAGGTACGGAAGGTGAACTCTTACCCTAAACAGTTCCTGCCTCTCATTGTAGATGCTTTCCCTATGGAGATATGCTTGGTATGGTTAGGTGGTAGGTGGTAGGTGCCTATGTTTGGTACTAACTGACACTGCGCAGTTGTGCAGAAGTGAGGAAGGAGCTTTCTCAGTCACCACTGCTTTTCTCCAAGCTCCATCAACTCTAGCTCTCTACCTATCTATACGCAGTACTGTGATCACAATAGGCACCTTGAAACGAGGCTGACAGGGAGACAAGGAGACACGTTCACACAGGAGTTACTCAGGTGACTGGCGAGAAGGAGGGCAGTCACGCTAAGAGACAAAAGTTGTCGCTTCCTGCCTCCCACCTTCCGCTTCCCGCCTTCTCTTCCTCCGATCGCCCGTGTCATCTTCAACTCTCCCACAACTGCTTGTCAACAACAAAGCTTCCTTCCATCTTGACGATCTTGATTCCCACCCCAACTTGATCTTCCAATACACCCCCTACTACCCGCTTGCGCTCAATCGCTCAGTCTTACTCCTCATCGCATCGGATCCTTCTTGAGCTCCTTCCGCCTATTTCTGGTAAGGCCACACCAATTGTCCTGGTCGGCGTAATCGACGCCGACCGACTTCACCTTCCCAGCCTCCATCCAAAGTCTTCCTCGTCCTTTCCTCCCCTCAAACCACCACAATATTGTTTGCCTGCAATATTCTCTTCAATCACAGCTTCTTTCAGCTCTTCGCGCCAGAGCTCGCCATTCATCAGGTAGAGATCGAACACTTGCAAGATGCCGCCACCGCGCAGCCTTGAACCCGATCGGGCAAAAGAGTTTGAAGAGGTGTATAATCAATAGTAAGTATCCATCCCCTTCAGCAGGTCATAAAGACTGACAGTATATACACAGCGCTCAAGAAGAGTCCCTAGAAGAAGCCAAGGGGTCCTTCCACGCACACGTTTTGGGCAAGGTTCTTGAGGATGGGAAGGATCGATCTCTTTCCACTTCACAGTGGGCAAAACCACCAACACCTAAACGAAATACCTTGCTTGTCAATCGCAACAATGTGAAAGAGAATGATCGACCTACTATCCCTCGTACTCCCCACCCTGATGGCTGGATCCCCCCACACATGAGACACTTGAAAGACGTCCCATCCAATACAGAAGCAGGTACAAGTAGTACTCCATGTGAACCAATGGCCAAGATGGAACAAGGTACTGGTAGTGCGGTAGAGTCCGCTAGTCAAGACAAAGCCATACCCTCTTCCAACTGGGCTAGTGTTGCTCCCGTCAAAGGTGAGATTCCAGTCTTGACTTGCTGAGTTGGATCAGAAACACTTGCTAACTGATCTTCACAGTTCCGACCACTGTGGTTGAAGCCAAAGCTGGTGCCATTGTGCGGGCAAATGATGGTGCTCGCAGAAATGCCTCAAAATACCTTCCGGCATGGCTTCGAGGACCCGGTATCGAAGAGGCTGAAGACGACTCGGACTCTGACAGCTCCAGCAATGACTCTTCTTGCGAAGAAGAAAACACTGGCGTCTTACTCTGCAAGTCACCTGAGCCCCCGGTTGTCGTTAACTCAAGTGAATGCCATAATGAAGGAATCAAGAAGATTTCCGGCTCCAATCAAACTGGCGAAATGGCGTCCTCGCTTAAGCACCCGATTGCGGAGCCTAACATCAACGCTAGCGCCCACCTTCCATCTCCAGGAGACGCAGCCACCACTCTTAATACGCCTGCAAAGCAGTCTAGTGCTGGTATCTCACCATCCAAGATGGGTCAAGAACAATCGCGTCTACTGTCTGAAAGACAGGCATATAAGCGAGAGCTTCACAAAAATGGCGAATCCTCAAGCACAATCCCAGAGGTTGCTGTACGACACCCTCTCGCTACGGCGACTTCCACACAAGCGGGTAACCAAACGCCCACGGCAGCAAATTCTCAGATCTCAACCGGGCAACGTCCTGTCGTTCAACCACAAGTTCAAGGTGATCGAGGTGAACAAGGCAAAGTTGCGAAACCTCCACACCTCCAAGCTGCTCCCGTCAAGCAAGATGAAGCTGCAACTCCAGTCAAACCAGTTCGGCCAGTTCGGCCAGTTCGGCCAGTTCAGCCAGCTCAGCCAGCTCAGCCAGCCAAAGCTGCGGAGCCTTCATGCCCTCGAGATGCCTCCGTTGAGCAAGCTCATGTAGCAACAACTCCATCCCACCCGAAAGTCGAGCCAGTTGAGCAAGCTACAACCGCAAAACCATCTGTTCAGGATCAATGGGGAGCCGGCCAATTGAAGCTAGCGACCGCTGAAGAGATTATCCAGGCTAAGGCAAAATTGCCAATATTTCAAGGAGGACGATATGGACACCATACATCGAAACAGGCTATGGACAAAACACCTGTCAAGGCTCGTACATCAGTTTGGAAACAAGTGAAACAAGAAGCCTTGGCTGATGCCTCCCTAAGCAAGCTCATTACCAACACTGTTCATGAGCAAGTTGAGGTTACACCAATGCTACCTCTCAGCCAATTGATTGCTAAGAACGGTCTTCCTCCCCCAGCAGATGAAATCGAAGTTCCTCCAGCAGGTTGTTTCGAGGTTCCTCAATTTGATGAACTAGGTGATTTCGAAAATCCTGATCTTCCTGATCCTAGCGGACCGGGAGGATATAGAGAGGGATATAGAGAGGGTGTAAGGGCCCGACAGGGTGATCCACCAGAGGATGAGCTGGGTGACTGGAGCGGCGGATTCCAGCCACCTCCATGTGATTGGGCGAACAGAGCGCAGGAGACTGCAAAGATGGATTATTCCTGGGTTCCCGACCACATTGATGAGTGGAGACAATACACACCATCAGGCCCTGCAGTCGCGATTGACATTAACGAATACGCAGAGGAGTTTAAAGTAGGTATGCCCATCGATGCTATCAACACGTGCTTCCTGCCAACGATACATATACGAGATACAAGACCAGGTCAGTTAAACATTCCGCTCCCCCATTCATGTTCACACACTAATTATATTCAGACAATGACAATTGTGAGAACGAAGAGCGGAGATTGATCACAGCTGAGCAGAACATTACCAGAGAATCCAAGTTGATGGCCAGTCGTCCAAAAGCTCCGCAGGTACCAATTTGGAGATTGTTTACTGGGAGAGAGGACGCTGCCATGCGTGCTGTGGAGGAGGAAAGAATGGCTAATTACGTATCTCCGCCAAATCCAAATCGCCCTAGAATGGACATGTATCTCCGCCCAGCGACGGTCGAAGACGCAGCCGAAATTGCACGAATCTACAATTACTATGTCGTCAAAACCCACATTCCTGAGGACCAAACACCTATTTCGGCAACTGACGCGGCCTTCTTGATTGAAGATGCGAAGAAACAGGAATTACCTTTCATTGTCGCAATCAAGGGAAGGCTACCATCCTTTGGTGTGGATGTGCTCGGCCGTCCTGCAAAACCCAGAAAGTCCACGCTACCAGCTTGCGAGATTGTACTTGGTTGCATATGGGTTGAGGCCTACAACTTCGGTATCTTGGGTCAACGAAACGGCAGATCTCGTCGCACGGCTACTCTTCAATTATACGTCGATCCTCAATTCACGCGCAAGAAAGTGGGCTTCAGCCTTCTCGACCGCATGCTCTTCACCTTGCACCCCCGATACGGGTTTGAGGATCAACACGCCTGGGTCAACGTCGATGGAGACAAGATGTACATTCACGAGGGATACGATAAGCCAAACTTCCACCAAGTCGTGTTCCAGCTCCCAGTTCTAAGTCGGAATGATCCCAATCTCGAAGGCGTGACCGAGTTCCTGAAGAACAAATTCTGGATCCTCGAAGCAGCTCGCATGCATATGTTTGGTAGGACCCATGCACTCAATGGAGAGCTCATTTCTTGGCTTGATCTTGTCATCTTCACAGGTATTGTTTGGCAAGCGGAAAGTTTTGGCCAGATCTACTAAATCATGAATGATCTTGGTGCCCTCCGATCACCCCAATGTCCCGCGACTCTCTGGTGCGTTATGCTCAATGGACGTGTGCCTTGGTCTCTCAGGTTTGCTCATCGTCTATGGTGGAGGATCTCGTGCCGACCCACTTCCAAAGGATTTACTTGATCGATGGCTTTACTTTCGATTCTCTTTGCAATCTTTCGAATGGATCACGATCTTTAGTCACGACGTTCTGGACACTCGCCTTCTGGACACTCTCGTTGCTGCGGAAGACATTTTTCAAACAAAGTACAGATTGTTTCTTTCTTTCGTTCAAAATTCATGACATCTCGGTCATTTTCCCCGATCAATCATATTTGTCACTTTCTTCTCTTGTGCTTTACTCGCAGAGAGGTCTTCCATTTGTGCTGGTGGTTATTCCATGGAAAGGGGAGATTCTAGGATCGTTGTTTTCCATGGTGGAAGGCCTTGAGTGTGGTGGGCATGTTTTCTTATTGTGCGGCTGGTGTGAAGGAGCTGCTGCTTTCTTTTCTTCCTTTTTCATTTTCATTGGAGGATGGATTCTATTGATTGTTCTCACATCAGGACTGGATTTTATTCTCGAATGAAGCTTCTTCTTTCATTAAGGGACGTATTCTTTGGTTTACATATCAGGACTGGATTACTCTCGAACGAATCTACTTTCTCATTAAAAAGGTGTATGGGTGGACTCTATCATTTTCGTAACAGGGCTGGATGTAATTTACCTTCTTCCGGTAGTTGAATTGAAATGATTTTTTCAAAATCAATGCGTGCTTTATGTTTTTGTGAAATTACGATGGGCTGAGGAAGTGTTGGATGGTTACTGAAGTGTTCTTTCGCGTGGGAATCAGTTAGTGTGATACGTACCCCAGATTTCGAGTCCGTCTTCAGGAGATGCAAGGTGGACTTGTATGTCCTTCATCCCATGTCCATTTCTAGAGAAGGCACCGTTCCGTACCAACTAAATCCTTTTAGCTACAGAACTTGGGAATGCCGGTCCTGCTGTCACTATATAGACTACGTCTAGATCCTTGACTTTAGAACTTGGGTGTGTACTTAGGCTTGAGAGGGGATAGGTTTGAGTTCCAGGATAGGTATGTGGTGTTCGTGGATGTTTTGTGGTGTTTGCTTTGTAGATAGATGGTGACTGTTGATTGATTGATTGAGTTGTTGATTTCTTGGTGTTGGTGTGGAGGTGAGGTGGGGTTTCTTTGGGGTGATTTGAGGGGANCTTTGTAGATAGATGGTGACTGTTGATTGATTGATTGAGTTGTTGATTTCTTGGTGTTGGTGTGGAGGTGAGGTGGGGTTTCTTTGGGGTGATTTGAGGGGAGAGGCGGTGGTGGTGGGGTTGGTTGGGGTTTGGGGGTTGAGAAAGGAGGGGGATGTGGGTGGTCTTCTGGTGGTGGGATTGGGGGTCTTTTGGATTTGTGATCTGTTGGTGGGGTTGGAGTTGTTTTCCTGGCTGAGGTGGATTTGTGGATTTGGGAAAGGGTTGGAGAGAGACAGGGAGGGAGATGGTGATGGTATATTAGGACTTGTCCGTGGATAAGCCCTGTGGGAAATCGAGGCTAGATATATACAAAAATATCTAACACCCGCCGCGGGCCGTCCCGGGGTATAAAACTATCCCTAGCGTATATATTTTTATATACTAACAATAGGCGTAAAACCTTAAATATTATACTAAAGACGTAGTTCTAATAAAGATATATACTTATAAATATTATAATATAAAATCTACTTGATTCTCTTACTAATCTTTTATAGTATATATAACTATCTAGCTATATAATAAGTAAGGTCTAAATAGCTTATCCTACCTAACTCTAACCTAATTATATAAATAATAAAAGACGTCCCTTAAGATATTCCTTTAAATAAAGAAAATATCCCTCTAAATAAAGAAATCCTACTATACTCTAATCTTCTTAATACTAAGAAGTCCCTCTAATAACCTCTATAAACACCCTTCGAAGTTCCCCTATTGTGTATATTTACTATAAAGAATCCTTATCTAATAATAAACTCCTTCTACTTTCGTATATAATATAAAGAATATATATATAAAGAACTCCTACTGCTCTTATACCTTCTTTAATAAATCTATATATAAAGAACTACCTCTACTTTTATATATCCTTTAATAAATACTTATATAAAGAACTACCTCTATATCTAGCTATAACCTAAATACTTCCTCTATCTTTTATAATGTATTAAAAGCTACTAGGATAAGTAGTAGTTATTATATTATAAATACTATTAAGGACTACTAAGATTAAAAGTAGTAGTTATAAAAACCTAGTAAGTTTTTAGAAGAGTAAAGTAAAAGCTACTAGGATAAGTAGTAGTTATTATATTATAAATACTATTAAGGGCTACTAAGATAAAAAATAGCAGCTATAAAAACCTAGTAAGTTTTTAGAAGAGTAAAGTATAGTATTAAGGCTAAGTAGTAAAAATTCGAATATATATATAAAGTTACTTAATCTAGTAGTAAAAAGCTTTATCCGAATATTAAGGTAAATAGCTATATCTTACTATTAAAATAAGTATTATTATTAAATCTTATATCTACTTTTACCTTAAAAAGAGAAAAATAGCTTAAATACTAAGACTTAATACTTACTAGTAATAAGATATTAATAAAAGTTTCTATCTTATCTCTTCTCTTGTGACGGTTATGGTCACGAGGGCTGGATGTCACATGCTCGCTTAGCGAGGCGCTAGCGCGCACGACCTGTATTTAGTTCCCAGCTCTCTCGAGCTCTCCTTCTTTCCTCGTCTTTTGTCCTAAGAATAGAGTGTTAATTGTTCTGAGTTCTACCTGAAGCACGTCTGTCACATCTCTTATCTTTCTCCTCTCTAGCCTCTACAACTACTACTATTAATTACTAGTTATTTATTATAGCTTAGAAAAATAGTAACTAAATAAATAGTTAATTAAGGACTTTTAAAAGGGCTAAATGTTAGGCTATTAGCCTTATTTAACTATACTTAATAGTAATATTAGTTATAGTATAGCTATTCTTATATCTTATAGAAGACTTATTAAAGTTAGTATCTAAGGGTAATAGTTAAATAGAGATAAACTTATTATATAATAGCTATTATTCTATATAAATAGCTAAGGTTTATTTTAAGCGAGCTTAGCTCTTAGTTTCTTTTTAATTCCTTTTAGATATTTAAATTAATAGGATTTATTACTATTATTATTATCGAAGATTCGCTTATTATTAAAAATAACTTAATCCTTTTATTAGGAAACTCGGATTTTAAGTAAAAGAAGTTATACTGATAAGTTAAGTAAATATTAATATTATAAATATCTCTTAAAGAAGTTAAAACGTTTATATTATCTACTTTAGAGTTTCTATTACTAATTATATTTATAAAGTCGGTTATAATATTAGCTCTTAGTTATTTATAATAAGATCTTATATTAATTTTGTACGTTTAGAAAGAGGTTAGTAATACTATATTCTACTAGATACTGTAGAACTACGCCTATTCTATTAAATTAGCTATTATATATAAGTTAAGGATTAATCCCTATTCTAATTAATAAGTAATATTTATTTTATCAAATTAGCTATTATATATAAATTAAGGATTAATACCTATTATAACTTATAATTTAATATATTTAACCCTTATAATAAGAGTACTCTATTACCTTCTTAATATCTATTATACTATAATATAAAAAGCTTAAGTATAAATAATCTAGCGTAGATATTAGTATTAAAGGCTCTTTTCTATTAAGACCTTTTATAAAAACTTTTAAAAATCTATAAGTTCTTATATTCTTTATTTATATATCTTATTTAATCTTATAATTTTATTAGGCTAGTAATAGAGTGTTTGAATAATTTCCTTTAATAATATATTATTAAAAAAACTATACCTTTAAAACTTAGAACTCTTACTATAATTACTACTAATATAATCTACCCTAAATATAATCCTTTATAGTTAGTTATATAACTAGTAGTCTTTCTATACTAGATACTCCTTATTAGTAATATCTAGGTTATAAATAATTATAATTTCCTAAGCCTTAAAGCCTATTACTAACTCCTTAGCTAAAGTATTTAGGAAATCTAAAACCTTAATATAGTATAATATAATAGATCTACTTTAACTAGTAACTTTATTAACTTCCTTCTCCTTATTTAGGTCTTATTTTATATAAGCTTTATAGTAACAAATTACTTATAAAAGATAACCTATAATAAAATCTATTTATTTATTTTATATCTTTAGTAAAAACTAATAATTATCTAAACCTTTAAATATATTAACCTTTAAAGCCTTATATATTATAAGAAAGCTATATACTTAATACGCCTCTTTCCTAATACAATTAAATAATACTAGAATATTAAATATATTATTTTACTTATATTATTAGTTTTTATTTATATATATAACTATATAAAAACCTACTATATAAGTTATATATTATCTATTAGGCCTATAGTATAACTATAACACCTCTATAGAATATAGTCTAAACCCTAGTCTAAATACTATTAAGTAAAAAGGTAGATAGTTATCATATATTATAATAAAAATAGATATAAAAGATTAATTTAATATTATACTTTTTAAAATACTAATATTAAGATATTATAAGACTTATTATTAAAGAAGCGTATTAAAACCTTACTAAGAAAAGTATATAATAATATAATAAAGGTTCTAGAGTAAAGTTAGTATAGTTAAGAAACTTAGATATAAGTCTTATATAATACCTAGGTATATATAGGTACGACTTAGATATAAGTATAGTATTAAAAGTAAGTAGAATATAAGTTAGAGATTTTAAAACTTAAATCTCTTAAGAGAAAAAATAAGCTAGTTCTTACTAAAATAAGGTACTTATAAATATAACGCTATCTAGTATCTTTTAAATAAACTTAAAGTACTTATATCTTATACTTATACTAATATTTAATACTACTTTATACTAAAAGTATATTAAGTTTATTTATATAATTCTATTTATACTAGTAGTAATTATCTACTAAATTTATAATAAGTTCTTCTCTCTATATACCTAAGTATTTACCTTTCTAAATCTTATTTATATAAAACTAAAGTAATCTAAAATTCGCTTAGTTACTAATATTACTTACTATATCTATAACTTATAAAACCTACTTATAAAGTACGTTAGAATATATAAACGTAGTAGTAATAGCTACCTTAGACCTTATACTACGTCTATAATAAGAAATACCCTCTATACTACCTAATTAGGCCTACTGTCACGAATCACGTGCATACGTGATGAGTGAAGACCAGGCGGCGCCCTGACAGGCTAAGCACTTCCATAGACTTATAGCAAATAGGGATCGGTTAGGATAGCTAACCGATCCAAGGATTTCTTTAGGAAGAGAGCATCACGTGATCTGATCGCCTGAGTCGCCTGTCGACTAGGGCGACTGAGGCGAGCAATCAGAGCGACCCAACTGAGAACGAAGGTTCTATATAAGACTGGCACGTCTGCCATTAGATAGGAGCTTCGTGCTCAACTTAGTTATCAATCTTATCATATTAGTTTGACATCTTTGATACAAGTAACGAGTTCACTTCCAAGTGAACAACCCGATAGTCTTCTTCTTATCATAGCATACCAACCAGCGAACACCCAGCCAAGTTTAGTTAGCCAGTTTGAGTATTCGTTACACCTACTAAGGTAATAACTCTAAGTACTTACTTAAGGTTTATAAGTATACGTTCTTATATCTACCTTCTT